TTTAATTTTATTTATTTATTATTATTATTATTCAATTTGACCAGAGAGAGAGAAAGAAAGCAACCTGCCAGGTCTGGGACCTGAACCCTGGTTGGCCATGTGGGAGTCCACCTCCCCAACCACTGTACCAGCTGCTGGCCCCTGCACATAGCATTTAAACACTGTGCTACAGGCTGGCACATTGCACTGATATTACCGTGCTTTCATCTTCCAGGGTCCCTGAACCACCCCCGATCCCCACAGGAGTCACAGTCAGTTCCTGCCGAGGTTCCAGGGCCCGCCACACCTGCCGCAGCCCACAGCATTCCCTACAACGGCTACAGAGAGCAGGAGCCAAGTTACCCCATGCCTGTGCAGGACACCCAGCCGCCAAAATCCCTGGGAGAGGTGGGTCCTCAAGACTGACCTAGGGCTGCTTGTTTGTGTTCCTGTCTGTTTACTTTTGCAAACTCAGCCTTCCAGAAGCCCTCTCTTGTCCCTATATATCATGCCTGATCTCTGCTCAGAACCCTGGGGCTCCCCTGGTTCCTGTGCTCCACATGAGAGCTGAGGCCTGTAGGAAATGTCCCATGAGCATGAGCTGCACTTTGCCAGTTCTCGCGAGAGGAACTACCACATTCATGTTTTCCCTCTTGCAGAATTCAGAGCAAGTGCCACAGACACCCAGCTCTGGGGTTGTCCAAAGAAGGCCAAGTGGTCCCCAGCACCCCTCCTCTGACGTGGCAGCCCTCAGCCCTCTGACTTCCAGTGGACATCTAGAGAAGGACACAGAACCAGACAGTCCCCACACAGCAGGTATGCATGGACCCTGGCTTCTAGGGCTTCTCTGACCTCCCAAATGGATGTTAGGGTTAGAGTTGCCCGTCTGACTTCCTTGGAAAGGAGACAAGGTAGAAATAAAGGAAGTTTGTCTCTGGTAGCAAACCATTTCCATATTAGTTAACATCTGCTGTGTAACAAACAGTCCAAAACATTTTCTTTTTAGTAGTTTAGAAAACAACTTTTTTTTTTTTTTTTTTTTTAAGGGAGAGATTTTTGCCTTAGGGTGTGTGCACTTGCCAGAGAGACAGAAAGTGAGAAATCATCTCTTGGGGGTGGGGGTGGGGATGCTGTAATCCCTTCTCTTCCATTCTCTTCTCAGAATTTTGGGTATGTATGCACACATACCTGGCAGGAGTTTTAAGTTGCTTGTTCTGGGATTCCAACTGCAGTTGACTATGTAGGAGTCCAGCGATATAACCATTACATCTGCTGGTCCCCATATATTTCTTTTTTTTTTTTTTACTTTTTAATTTAAAACATTTTTTATTTAAAAAAAAAAGTTTATGTATTTATTTCTTCCATAAGAGAGAGAGAGAGAGAAAAGAGACAGGCAGGCATCCCCAACAGGGCCTTCATGCTGAGATGCACCCCAGTTCCCAACCAGCCCAGATCATGACCCTGTGCCCATGCATGCCTGGTGCATTTAGCACCTGATTCTGAGTTAGCCTTTTGGCCTGACCCAGCCGGGCAGTTCTGCTGGTCTTGGCTGAATTTCCATTTGGGTACAAACCAGTATACACATACACCCTGCTTCTGGCTGTCGGCTGGGGCGCCTTGATTCTCTACCATGTAGGTTCTCATCCACTAGCACACAAGCCCATCTCCTGGTTGCTGGGCAGAGTTTTGAGAGAGAAAGAATGGGAGCCCCAGAGGCAGAGGCTCACAACTGGCCCAATGTCTTCCTGCCCTATTCTGTAGGCCAAAACAGCTTACAAGGCAAGCCCAGGTTGAAGAAGTGGGGACACAGACTCCATGCCTAGGTGAGAGAACTGACAAAGACACATTGCAGAGGGGCTAGGTATAGGTAGGGGAAAGAACCAGGGACATTTCTTTTTTTGGAGAGGTTTTTTTTTTTTCAGGGACATTTCTGTACTCTGCCAAAGGGACTCTGTAGGGATCAGACAGAGCCTGGAGGACAGTAAGGGAGGGAAAGTGCAGGGCTGGGCCAGACATTGGCAGGGGAGCCCTCAGGCACCACCCTCGCTCAAAGGGGTCTTCAGTTCCTAGCAAAATCACTAACATTCTCAGCCCCCAGAAGCAGTATGGTCTTTATTGGCAAGGGGCCTGGACCCCTCCTCCCCAACCCTGCAGACCTCCGTGCCTCCCATAGAGATATAAGCTGCCTACCCTAACCTCGTAGGCTGTCCCAACAGTGTTCCACGTGGCCTCTGTGCCTGCCAGCACTCCCTGCCCTAGGGCAGCCACCGG